TGCAGCAGAGCATGATGTTTCTATGTACCAGCTGGGTTTGTTTGTGTGCAGAGCTTTGCCGTGAGCCGTGCATACACGAGACACGTATTTCAAAACTGTCACATCTGCAGTACAAACCCCGGCTGGGGTTTAAACAGACCTGACTGCACTCACAGTCTGCAGGAGGAAACCGTAACACACACATGTAAACACGCTGCTGCTCATCTCCATCAGCAGGTTTTGATACCACAGGAAGGTGTCACATGGATCCAGCACAAACATTTTATTTATATTTAAAGTTAAATCTCGTTAAATAAAGGCTTTATGCTATTTATCTCACTGCTTTCATTGCGCCTCCTACAGGAGAAAGAGAAGAAGTACATGCTGCCTGTAGACAACCTGAAACTGAAGGACATTGAGAAGAGCTTCATGTCCAGCAAACACATCTTCGCCCTGTTCAACACTGAGCACAGGTCAGTCAGCCACACGCTGAGAGGTGCTCCAATAAAACGACGAGCGTCCGGCTCCTACGCTAACGTTTAGCAAAGAGTTTCCATCTGAGCGTGCTGTGATCGAACCGAGAACGAAAGCGTGCGGTTAAGAATCTGAAGGTCAGCGAAGATGGAAACTAAACGCAGCCACATTTGGACACACGGTGATGAGCCAGCTGCAGCGGCTCGAAACACATCAGCACAGATGTTAAACTGTTCTCAGTCCAAGTTTAGGCTCTCTGATGGCAAACGCCGTCACGTGACAGGAAGTAGCCATGGAAAATGGTGTTTTTCAGCAGCAGATGAGATGTGTGTGTCCCTGGTCCTGATGATGATCCTGATTTATGTCTGATCATAACTGAAACTGTGATGATGCAGGAACGTGTACAAGGACTACCGTCAGCTGGAGCTGGCCAGCGAGTCTCAGGACGAGGTCGACGGCTGGAAGGCGTCCTTCCTACGTGCTGGAGTGTACCCTGAACGCAGCGTGGTACGCCCCAAGTTTTACTGTGTTATAACAATATTATTACTGATGTTATTACTGCAGTACAATTACATGTAAACACTTTATTCTGTCCTCTGCCCTCCATCAGGATAAAGAGAAGGTGAGTCTCTCATGGTGCATTTCAGGTGGAGGTGGTGTGTGTAACAGTCAGCGTGTGCAGGTGGAGGTGGTGTGTGTGTAACAGTCAGCGTGTGCAGGTGGAGGTGGTGTGTTTAACAGTCAGCGTGTGCAGGTGGAGGTGGTGTGTGT